TCAAAGACTCTGCATATATAGCTACAAACAGTCCGCAATCACTACAAAAACAATAAGATTAATTATAAGGATGAATTAGATACAAAAAATAAAATAAAATAATAAACAATACTCACAGGCTATCACTTATTTGTTGCATGTTGTCTTGAGCAAACTCCACATTAAACGAATGTTGTGGATCCAAAAGTTCTCCAGTTTTCATGTCTTTATATGTATCCAATGTTGCCCAATCTGTTCGCTCCTCTTTTTCAAAGAATTCACTATCATGAAGGTAGTTTGGAAGGATTTGAGACAACTTCTTGATGTCTGTAAAGTGAACTCTCTTCCTTAATCCCGAAGTTGAGTCATACACCCTTATAAGTCTTTCTTTTAGAACCACAACAACCAACACCCAATGAAAATTTTCATCACAGTTTACAGGAATATAAACCTCATCTACTAAATGCCATGGTAAAACAGCAGGAATAGAAAAACCATTGATGATGTTAATGATAGACCTTTCATGAAATGATACGGCAGCAACACGAATCATGTGTTCTTGTGTGCTAATTGTATCATCTACATGACTGTTATAATACCTTGAATATGCTTTGTTTATATAAAACTTAAACAAGCAATTGACTGTAGTATATTTATACTGATCCATGCTTCTTTGTTTGGACTTCTTGTGGAGATAGTAAAAGATTACATCTATATGCTGCAAAATAAGAGAAAACATAATACATGGTAAAATGTATTTGATAAGTGGAAAACATATGTAGGAACTAATTTGATACCCTAACTGATAAATATATTTTAAATAATCAAGTTGATACTTAATATTAATAACAATCTGCAACATGATACAAAAAAGTGTAATAGTATTTGATACTTATTATTAACTACATATAATATAGTAACTTTTAATGTGATATCTAAAAATCACAATTTGACAAAATAATGTATATGATACCTCATTAGTCCAACATCTATTCGGCTGTGACATAGTATAAAACTAGTTCTTGTCCATAGGGAATGCGACAACAAGCTCAATATAATCAACACCAAATGAAGCAGACTTTGCTCTGTATTTGTCCTCAGATTGTTTCCTATACACATAAATAATTTTTAGAAACAAATTAAAATAATATTATACAACACAAAATTAGCAAGACATATTATAATAACTTACTTGTTCGCATGTGATTTTAAGAGACCTTTTTCAATCCATTGCGAGAACTCGTCCATCATACCTAATGACAATTGTTTAAGAATACCACAACCTTCAAATGGATAGAGTGGGAGAACATCATAATCTATTTTTGCCTTGCCTTTATCGTTGGATCCAAAATCTGTCAAATATGGAGACCGTAAAATTCTTGAAGGCATCCTGTGTCGTGGTGCTGGAGTCTCAGTATCAGGAGGAAGTGAAGATTTCTTTACGGGTAGTTGGGTGGGTAGTTGGCTATCAGATAACCAAAAAGCACTCTCATTTTGTTCCACATGACTCATCAAACATACTGGTTGGACATTGTTTTGCACTTCTGTAGATGTATCAACAGAAAACAGACTTGTAGTGTGCTTTTCTATGTTGTGCTGAAGTATGTCAACATCATGTTCATCCGCATTTAAAATCTTTGTGTCTGAGTGAGAGGCTTCACCAGTTGTATAATCCTAATAAATATTTCGTTAGACTAAATTCTGACACAAACAAAAAAATTAATGTATACTGATTCATAATATTTGTACTTACATTTTCATTATTAAGAGCAACTTTTTCAATCAAAACATGACTACGTTGTGGTGAGTGTATAACCTCTACGGCATCCTCCATATGTTGTTCCTTTGAACAATCCATGTGATTAGGTGAAATAGATTGTTGGTCCACTTTATCTGTCTGTAATACAAAACATAATACATAATTCTATTAAATTAAAAGTCAGAAAAGAAAAAGATGAATAAAAATAACATTTGCAATCACATATAAAATAATAACATGATGTTTTTAAGTGTCATATACAAACTTTTTCAATATTGATATCATTAACCTGTTCATCAGCATCAACAGCAGATCCACCAATATCTTGATCAACATTATGTTTCTGTTCAAAAAAATAAAATCGATAAGTGCCAATGAAAATGAAACAAAAAAAAATAATACCTTTTCAGTTTTGTTGTCTTTCTCGCCAACAACTTTCATCAACTCAGAATGATTTTTTTTATCAACTCCACAAGACAACCAACTTGTTGGTCAACCTATATGCAAATTACACAATTTATAAAGAATTCATAATAAATAACAATAATTATAAAAAATATATGATAATCACAAAAAATATGTATGATTGTAATACTAACATAACCCTTCAAGTATTGCTTCAGTCCCTCTAATTTTGAATTTTCAAAAATTACTTTTCGAAAATCTGAATTTACGGGAACATTAGATACATTGTCAGCTTGAGAAGTTGGTAAATCTGGAGTGTAAACATTCTGAGTTGGTTGCTTTTCTGCTGTTGTTGATTTGGAAACCTTTGTTTTATGTGGATGTACAACCTTTCTTCTCTTCGGTGGTGGGGTAGATCATGT